AAGTATTTTCCAGACAGCAGCTAGGTCTTTGAAGGGCTTGACATAGGTGGAAAGGTGACTTTTTAATTTCACTGAGCTCCCAGAAAAGGTACATGATAGAGTTCTGCCACTCTGCCTTTGTTTTCTTTGATTTGTTTTCTGGCCCGGTCGATGCAATAAGAATTTTTTATTTGCTGTTTGGAGACTTGCTAGTTATAAGGCAAGAGCCACCAATTTTTTCATATTAGCTTTATCTTTTTGATAGAATCTTTACAAATTTTTTTTATTTGGGGGGGGATTAGGTTTGTATTTATCTTTAATGGAGGTACTGAGGGTTGAACCCAGGACCTCGTGCATGCTAGGCACACACTCTACCACTGAGCTATACCCTTCCCAGCTTTTAGACATGATTTGTAGGAACAACAGACATAGATTTCTTTGTCGCATCACTTACCACTTTCCTCCATAGTTTTCTAAGAGAATGGCTATCAACCTTTCCAAGGACCCCAAAATGGCCCGATGGATGATCACAGGGTTCTTCTTATCATGCCCGTCCTTACTAAAAATGAACGTGATACATTTAAGTGTTTTCTTAAGATTCAGAAGTAACTTTGTCTTCTTACCTTATATTTAAAAATTATTTTTCCAAACAAGGTAAAACAAGAGATTCCTTCTAAAGTATCTTTAAGCATCAATGTGCCATGAATTAGAAATAAAGAGTTTTTTTCCCTGACAAATTATGGTATCTTTTATAAACCAAAGGGAAGTGAAATGTATCCGCTAGGAAAAAGCAGGATAATATTAGATTGCTATCTCTATCACAAGTCTACTGATTATCATTATTCTAAACTACCAGCTTACAACAGTTTTCTCATATTGAGAGGCAATCTTACAAATCATGTTTTTTTTTAATTAACTTTATTTTGAACTATGGCTTACTCTACCAGTACAGTACTGAACCATTATCAAAGATGTTGAAAAAATAGAGAAAACAGGTTTCTGTATTCTGTAATGGAATATGTTGATATTCTATTAATTTGGGTTAATGGTTATGACCACAGTGGCTGGCAAAAAATTTACCAACCCTCTTTAATTACTGTAACTTAGTCACTAATTATCAGAGAACACTGAAAACATACACACACGTAGAGAGAATAGTATAATGAACTTCCCACATGATCCTTTCTCAGCATCACCAAATGTCAACTCACAGCCAATCTTGTTTGGTCCAAATGCACCCCATTCCTGACACTTTCCACTGCAAACACACTGCCATATGGTAAACACTATGTCCCCACTGCAAACGTATTTCAAACCATTTCTGATATTTGTTCCAGAAGTCCACTGGTCAAAGTTCCTTTGGAGATCTAAAACTTTCATGACATGCTCCTTATATTTGAGGATTCTCTCCTCCCTTTCAGAAAAAGATGTAAAAAGCAAATTATGACTGTTAACTGTCATAAAGTAACTCACTCCAAGATCTGTGCACTTTTCCCAAAAAGATAAATTTCACATTATTGCAACAAATGTATTTTGTGTCTCCTCCACATCCTCCTTGGATGGCCAGCAGTGTTCAAATTTTGTTGAACTCGCTCGGTCGCTTTGGCATACCTACCCTTAATTCTTTCTGTTCATTTCACTAGGTTACTGGGGAAAGATGGTTTTGCAAATATGAACATTAAGACACCATCTTTTCCAAAAGGCCAGAATTTACTCTCGAAAGTTCTATGCTTTCCCCTTTATTCTGAGATTCTTAATTATTCTCACATCTTGGTCTAACTCTCCATATGATCATTTCAACTATTCTTCAAGTCTTTACCTTCTCCTGGGACCTAACTCTCAGTAACTATTCATCAAAACACAAGATGGAGAATCCAAAACAAAATAAGATTTTTGTTGGCTGACCATATTGAGATCAATCCATAAAATCATACACTCTGGGCAAGTGGTGGCTGTTCATTTATTGTAAGAATCTTATTAGCAAAATATTCTATTAAAATGATTAGATTTAAAATATGTCAATAATTTGTCCTTTTCTGCCTTAATTCATAATTTTGAGTGAAAGCGATCTCAGTACATTACCTGATCAACCCTATATTTCAAACTGGATGTGGTGACAAGGGGAGAGTTTAAAGGAATGATGTTATGAGTCTGTATTATAATTCAGATCAGGGGGTGGTCTTCAAAAAGAAGTTGGTTCCAGGCAGAAGGAAGTGAGTCTGCTCCACCCTACTCTCACCGAATACAGACCCAGACCCTGGAGAGATCACAGGAGCAGCTACTCGAGGGCTCGGAAGAGGGAATGATGGTGGGCGACTGCCGAAGACGACCAGAATTGGAAGCACCACCAAACCAGCACTTAGTGTCTTGTGATTTGTCTTCCAGTCTGTGTGGCCTGGACTCAAAGACAGCCCCAAACCAAGAATACACACTTGATGCAGACAGGAAAAGCTTTGAGAGAAATCCTCACTTTCTGGCCAAGAAAGTAAATTACGAAAATAACCGAAAAATAACTCCTAAGTTTCAGAAAGAGTGGAGGTGGGGGGAAATCCTGGATTTTGTTTCTGGTTTCTTTTTCTGTTCTCTTCTCGCCAGCCCCCAGGCATTCCCACAGTGGCGCAGAGACTGCAAAGGCACTTAAAACTCCAAAAAAGGGGACCCTTCTCTCTGACCAGAACAGCTATGGCCCCAGGTGTGTGGGTGAATCTCTGTTGCTTTCTCTCTCTCTAGCCTCCTGATGCTTGTCTCAGACACACCCAGGGTCTTGGAAAAAGCATGCAGACTAGGGAAGCTAAAACCTCAGTGTTTCTGGCCACAGGACTGCAGAAAGGACTTCAGGAAACCAGAAAGTGTCAGGGAAACAGCTACAGAGAGCAGGGAGCGCAGAAGAGCTACCCCATAAAGGGGTGTGTGAATGCACCTGGCCAACTGCACACCCATAGATCCGACCCCAAACAGCACACGAAAGGCTTGAGAACCGAACATGGGACTTGGCTCCTGGGTGGTGCACACACAGGGCAGATCTAAATACCATCCAAGAGACCTTGCAGATGCCAGAATCCACGGATGCTCAGGCCCTCAAATAAAGTGGCCCAATGCAGTGAATATGGTCGGCCCTCTGTATCCACGGGTGTCACACCTGCAGATTCGCCTGAGGTTGGTTGATTCCGCAGATGCAAACCCATGGATATGTAGGGCTGGCTGTACAGCCTTTGAAAACATTGGAGCCACCAAGGGCAGGTTGGAAATTACAGCCTGAACCTAACCAGGTGGAATGGCTGCAAAAAAAAAAAAAATCAACAATCTCCTTAGGATTTAAACAAGATCCTGTATCTCATAATATAATGTTAAAAATGTCAGGGATGCATTCCAAAACTACTCAGCATATTCATCACTAAGAAATCTCAATTCTAAAAAAACATACTATGGAAAGGGAATTAGAGTAACTCTACAGGGAAATCTGGCAAACATTATTTTAACCAAGTGATGGAGGCAAATATCACTAGGAAGAAGTCACACTGATGTCACGCACACCCTTGATATGACAAGCCACTCTTAACAGGTTACAAAGGAGCAGCACAGGAGTTTGCTGGCACCATGGATCACTATCGGGGTGGTGGGTACACTGCTCTACACGGATGTGAAAACTTACAGAACTGCACACACGTGTATCACATTTACACACCAAGTCAACTTTACTGTGTGTTAAGAACAAGATTTTTAAAGAGAAGTTGTTGGTTTGCAGCGATGAAATTGCCTTTTTTCCCTACTCTGCTTTCCCTGGCAAATACCTCACCCTCGAGACACAGACCCAGTGTCAGCTCTGGTTGAAGCCCTCCCCTCCACGTCAGGGAGACTGAGCCGTCTGGACCGTGTTTTCATGGACTCTGTCCCTATCTCTACTCTTACACTTACTAAGTATCTTCCCTTCCCCACTGCGCCACGTCCTGAGAAAACTAGTTATCTGACACAGGATTTCAGGCAGGTTAAATACACGGGTATACTGCACATGTACTACATGTTCCCCAACGTTTGCTTTTGTATTACTAATGCTCAAATGACAACTAATTAAGATACTAGTCCCACATCATTTATCACATTCCATCACTCACCTAACGTATGTAAGATTAAATCTTTTAGGTAGTTGGAAGTCCAGCTGAATTGTAGCACATTGGTGGGATCTGCCAATAGCATCCTTGATTTTTACATCAATCTGTAGATTAAATGATGTTTGCTTAGAGGCAGGTTTTCTTTGCCTTTTACAGTTTACTCTTTTGGAAGCATATGGTCTACTTACTTTAGGACCATAAAATGCACCATCTCCTGGGTTCATTTTCCAGGGTTTTCCAAATTCCATCAAGCTATTCTGTAGTTGCTATTTTTAAGAAGAAAAGAACATTTGTGACTTCTACTGCATTGTACATTTCATCCTTTTTTGTCATATAGCTCCAACAAGTAAGTTACTATAAATCTTAATTACACTGCATTTTAGTTCAATATACATTTATTGAGTACCTCTGTGTTCAATCAGCTACTTAGCAAGGCCTAC